TTCGTTCGTTCGTTCGTTCGTTCATTCGTTCGTTCGTTCATCTCGCTCATCGTGCCCCGAAAAATATTCAAAGTTCACCCAGAGACCATTGACCCAACTTTACCTATAAAAGCCCGAGGCTCGTTGGTAATTGGTTGAGGATCCATGCTACGGCAGCGACGCGGCCTCCCATTGGCTCGATTCAAGCGTTTCCTAACGTACGGCCAGCTGTTACCCGTTCGGAGCGCGTTTGAAAAAAGCGTAGGGAGAATCGTGGATATTGAGAGAGAGAGAGAGAGAGAGAGAGAGAGAGAGAGAGAGAGAGGGTGAGGGAGACAGACAGACAGACTGTGGCCCGAGAGCCCGGGAGATACACGTTATACTTGCGCGGATAGGGAGCAGTCGGTGCGCGTGCCGAGAAACGGCCTGCAGTCGTGAAAGGAGTCGCGCTACCCGGAGACCCGCGCCGGCAACGAGTTGCACGCCGAGATTAGGCCCCTCTCTCTTCCCTCCGTTATCGCCATCCGTTAAATAACAAAATATGTATTGAAAGTCGACGAAAGAGAGAGTGTGTGTGAGAGAGAGAGAGAGAGAGAGAGGGCGACAGAGAGAGAGAGAGAGAGAGGGACCTTCCTTGGGGCGTCGAGGATCTGTGAAACGAACGGCTCCACGGGTCAACGGGTAAAACGCTAACGCCTCGCAAGATCCCCACGTAATAAACGACGCGGTAGGTAGCTGCGAACGAGGCCGGGAAGTCGTCGAGGAGCGGTTGCGCAAAGGTAAACACGGGATGGCAACGATGCGCGTGCACGAGGACCAAGAGAATCGTCGGGTTGGGCTGAAGGAGAACGTTATCGCTGTCGGTCAGCAACAGCCTCAGCAACAAAACAAGCGAGCTGTTCTTGGAGTGCTCTCCAATAATTTCGTGAGGAACGCCAAGCCTGTAAGCCCGAAGCATATTTTACTCTAACGTACATTATTGTGATTTATTCAACGTGTATTTCGTCCTCGTGTCTCTCTTTAACGCTAGCCGATTCTCAAGGTTGATAGAAGTCAGAGAGAGAGAGAGAGAGAGAGAGAGAGAGATATCACGAGCACGAGCATGTGTGTATGTGTGCGTGCGTGCGTGCGTGCGTGTGTTTGAGAGAGAGAGAGAGAGAGAGAGAGAGAGAACGAGGCAAAAGCGTGAGAGCACGAACGAGACGAAGCGACTTTTCGAGGGAAAGTCCGTTAAACGTCGTAATAATTCGAATTTAAATTGAAGCGTATGTTCGGAAGCGCATTTCACCTGCGAGTTAATCTTTCCCTTCCTCTGTCTTCTTTCCTACGCTTCCAATTTGTTTGTTACTAGCGTTTATTCACCGATATTCCACGACTTCATCGTTGTTTTATCGCGAATCCATAACACGCGTATTCAATTGGGGGTTGCTTTCAAATATTAGTGGGCTCGGTGGACATATTGGAACATGGGCGCTGGATGTTTACACTTATGAGTTGATAAACAGTAATTAAAGGTCGCGGAATTGAATATTTTTTTCGAACTTTATAAGGGAATTCGATTAAATATCTTCCCGTAATGTTCTCGTTATTAGTACTGAGAACTGCCGTTACACTGCAATTCAATATCTCCTATACGACTTTACGGAAATTTGCATTTACTAATGTTTCAATGTTTGACCTTGATGTTCCAATTTATTTACTACTATTTACTTTATTTATTAATTAATATACGATATTTTATCTTTCAATGCCCTCAATGCCATTTACTCATTGATTTAGTAAAAAAATCCTGAGATTATAGAGATTTGCGCGATGCTCGTTATAAAACTTATTTTTAACGTTTTCTTCCCCGACATGCGAAAAAAAAAGTACATACACTCGTGAGTTTTTTTTTTTTTTTTGCTATTCAATTCGATTTAAAACACTGCTTGAATTTAAAATTAAACATGCCGTAGTGTAAAAATAACCGCGACAATGGGAAATCGAATATCGTTAACTTGAATTACCGTTAATTGGAAGGAACAGGACTCGTGCCATCGTATCGTATGCGTGTATGCGCCGCCTCCTTGCGAATACGTAATCCGTAATTGTCCTTAATCAATTTGCAATCTATACAATTGTCCTCGTATTAATGTAATTATTGTTAATATATTTAAACATAATTTATTTGTCAATTTTTAAAATCTATTTTAATGTTTTATTTTATATATATATATATATATATATATATATATATATAATAGATAAATATTATTGCGTATTTACTATTTTGCTAATTTATACTTGAGAATGCAAATGCAGCTGTATAATATAATAGTAATTTGGCTGTTTTAATATTGCATTTTAAGATACTGGCGATAGATTCTTTTCTACAAGAGCATTCAACATTGTAATGCCTGTTTGTTATTTGAAAATTATCTCACACTTCACATTCTATTATTTCATTCAAGAATTAGCATTTGTAAAATGAATAAATTAATTTACCTTTAACACTCCGCCAATTATTTGTTTGAGTCTGTGAATTATTATTGTTTGGCATTATTATTATTATATTATTATATTATTTGGTAGCCATTGTAATTCTTAAAAGTAGTATACTATTGTCATATAAATTATTAATGTTGACTTATATCTGTTATTAAAAATAGAATTTGACAATAATATGCTTAAATGTCACGTATTGATTTTTGTAACTATTTACATACGCAGGCACAAGTTGCTGCTTGGAATTTCATCGAAAAAATTTCATCGTTTTTTCTTTCTACATGTTAAATGCTAAATTCAAGCCTAGTTCTTATAAATTTATTATTTATGATCAGTTAAATATTTAATAAATAATTAATGTTTTTTGTATAAACAATTAATGTAAATATTAAAAATTTTTTTAGGAGATATGCAAAGATGAAAAATACAGCAAAGCAAAAACTAATTTTGTTCCTCCAATTGTTGAACCCTTTACCATTTATGAAGAAAAAAAAGAAGAGCCGACGTTTCAAATATACGAAGACAAATTACAAACGGAGTCTTCTATTGTATTAAGAGATTCGCAAGAAAGTAAAAAAATTGAAGTCAAACAAATAACAGAATTCAAAGTTACTGTTGAAAAAGAAAAACCAACATTAGAATTTAATCCTGCTATTAAAAATGTTGTTGAATCATATCGACCTGTTCTTCAAGACGTTGAAGAGATAAAACAAAAAGATGTAATAATACCTAAGGACAGTCCAATATCTTCAGATAGATCAGTAATTTTAATAAAATCAGAAAAGAAAGACTTAAGAACCAAGAGGGATGTTTGCAAAATAGGCAGAGCAAACTTTTATGACGTTGACGAGTATAGGTCTGATATTTACAATTACTTCAAAAGTATTGAAGTAAGTATAATTTAAAATTGAATAAGTTAAGAGAATGATGTTACGTTTTTTAATCACATTTATGGCAATGAATTAATTTTTCAACGTTTCATTTAATTAACAATAATATCGTAATCAATTTTTTTTTAGGTGTTACATAGACCAAAACCAGGGTACATGAAGAAGCAACCGGATATTAATTATTCCATGCGAACTATCTTAGTAGATTGGTTAGTCGAAGTGGCCGAGGAATATCATTTACATACCGAGACATTGTACTTGGCTGTTTCTTATATAGACCGATTTTTGTCTTATATGAGTGTAGTACGAGCTAAGTTGCAGCTTGTTGGTACTGCTGCCATGTTTATTGCCGCGTAAGTTACATTAAACATTATCCGATTACGTCTCTTTATAAAAGCTTCGAAACTTTATACAATTTCTCATTCATGTTATCGCTTTAATTTTTAATAGGAAATACGAAGAAATATACCCACCAGAAGTTAGCGAATTTGTATACATTACGGATGATACCTATACAAAGAAGCAAGTTATAAGGATGGAACATTTAATCTTAAGAGTATTATCATTCGATCTTATTATACCGACTCCTCTTGCTTTCCTAATGGAGTACTGTTTGAGTAATAATCTCTCAGAAAAGACTCAGTATTTAGCAATGGTTTGGCTCATTATTACTATATTATGTATATACGCATATGTATTAACATTTCCTTCCTTCATTCGATACACATGATAATTCATTTTCAGTATTTGTGTGAGCTGTCTTTATTGGAAGCCGATCCATATTTGCAATATTTACCGAGTCATTTAGCGGCATCAGCAATTGCACTGGCTAGACATACATTGAGAGAAGAAGTCTGGCCCCATGAATTTGAGTTATCATCGGGGTATAGTTTTCAAGATCTTAAGGTATGCATTACTTGCCTCCATAAGTCATTTAAAAATGCACCAAACTTGTCCCAGCAAGCGATACAAGAAAAGTACAAAACTAAAAAGTAAGTGTAAATTCTTTGTAATAAATTTAAAAAGTATATAATTTAAAGGAAATACAATTACTTAGAATGTGCTAAATATATATGAGATATAATTCTTTTTAAATATTTTCTGCAGGTACGGGCATGTTGCGCTCCTTTTACCTCGAAGCAGCGAACCCTTTGAGTGCGAAGACTCTGAAAGTGCCTAAGTTAAATTAAAATAGTCCAAATTTTAATGAAATAAACATCACTCGTCTATTATCAACATGTAACGAACCTCCAATCAGGAACCCCTTGTTCTATGAAGAATTATTAGGAGGGGATTTGGGCAAGACTGAAGGACTGTTTCTTTTTTAGCAAAAGAATAGTGCTTAATAATTAGCACCTCGATAGTCATCCAGGTCGATCGTTCTATGCGCGACCAATTACATGATACAATATCGTTCTGTACTTTGGGGATTATCTCCATTTGCTAGATTTACGTGTGTAGGTGTCGATGCAAATTTTAGGTCTTTTAAAGAACTCCATCATTACATTAACGAGGAGAGACTAATGTAATTTAAAATTTGTTGGTACTTTTTCACAATTTACTTTTCCGAGTTTCAAGTCAATGATTGATAATTACATACTGGAAAGCATATAACTAAAAACTTACATAAGTAATCTTTGACAATTATAATACGAAAAAACAATGTATGTTTATATTTATACTTGACACTAAGAAATTTTAGATTATATTTAAAAAAAAAAACAAACAAAAAAAATTTGTGATAAAAACGTTCGGTAAAACTTATTACTTCATGAATGTTATGTATTGAACTTTGTAACTATCTACACAGCTGGCATAAGTTATTGTATGTCCGCGAAATAATTTAGGAATTTTTCTACATGATAAAATTGATTAGTTTATAGCAAAATTATTCAATTTTCAGTATGCAAAACATGACTGAAATAAATTATAATATTAAGGTATAAAAATTGTTTTATTAATCAATTGAAAGTATGTCAGCTGCATAATTTGAAGATTATTATACAATTAGTGATTTTGTATGTAAATTATTTTGAAAAGTCAAAAAAGAGAAGAGCAAATGAATTTACAATTCAAGCATGCAATTATATCAAAGATTTTAAAGATTTTTAGAAGTTTCATTATGAGTTTGCACAGTCATGGTCATTTATTGCAATCTCGTTAAAAAATTTATAGAAATTTATAAAATTATTACCCAAAAATGTTCACCAAATTTTTTTTTTTTTTTATAAATTTATTATAATATTTATAAAACTTTAAATTCACTACTAGATCATAAAACCAGTCAATTTTTTTTTGTTAATAATATTTTTGAATATTTTTATTAAAGAGTAAGTGTTTTTTTTTTATATAAATGTAGCAAAGCAAATATCTGCTATAATTTTATATTCATTAAAGATTCTACTGTTTTTTTTTATATAAATGTAGCAAAGCAAATATCTGCTATAATTTTATATTCATTAAAGATTCTACTGTTTCAGAGTTATTTTTTTTTTTTTTTTTTTTTTTTATAACTTTAATAATCATAAATGTATAAATTTTTTTAGTTTTTTTTATATATATAATTGTAATTTTGAATTTGTTTATTTTAATAATTTTTACTTTTGATCGAGTTTTTCTATTATCAATAGATCTTTAAATATTCGGAAACTAGAAAAAAATTTATATGTAAAATTGAGACTTTTGGGTTCAATATACGTAGATAAATAATAAATGAAACGTGCTTTGAATATTGCATGAATGTTTCATTACCTATTAAGCAAAATTTGCAAAAATAAAAAAGAAGCGACAGACTTTCCTTCATTATGTACTTACAGAAAATTACTGAAAATTTGTAATCTCATTTTTCCGAAAAATCAGGGTTTAAAATACAAGAATTAAATAAGCGTGTAATGTTAGCAATTGTAAAAAGTGATTGTATGCATATCAAAGTCTGTCTTAATGAAATATAATTAATTATTTCATTGTAAATTGTCTGTATTCTTTTTAAATTCATGCTTTATGTTTTTTTCCATATGTCATTATTATTTAATTGTTAGAAATGTAACATTTGTTATTTTATCTTTAGTGATTATTTATTGTGTGATTATTATTTTATTTTTTTTGTGTGTTAAATTTCTTTTGTGTCCATGTGTTATATTTTTAATACTTATTTAACATTAACTTCATAACTTCATCTTCGTTAATTTATAAATTTAACTTTTATGTTTCTATTGTAACAACTATTGTCCTTTCATTCTTCATTCTAGTTATGTAATTTTAATTCGCGTCGTTTGATTATCCTTGCGCTATTGAGTAAAATAAGTTTTCTTATTTTGAGATTATATATTTAGCTATATTTAGCAATTTTCTTATTCTATTAGGATAAAATGTTTTTATTAGTTTGATTAATCATTATCAATACTGTATATAATATTATAATTAAGAATTATAATTAAGAATTATTTCTTAATATATGAAAGCATTAAATTTTTTTTTTTTTTTTTTTTTTTTTTTTTTATAGTAATCGTATTACTGATTTTATCAGTGTATTTACATTTTTTTATCGTCATTATTTACGTTTTTATTTTGTACTTTACATTCAGTTTGAAAAGTCTATTCTCTTGTATGGATTTTTATTTTTAATATTTTTAATTGTATATGAATTTGCTTTGTTTTCATCTCACTTACATCTCTTACATTCATCTTCTATTGTTCAATTAAATAATTAAATTGACTGTGCTCTACAACTTTCCTTCTGTTATTACGATAACTGAATAGATATTTTAATTTTACATGTAATAATCGTTTGTTTTTAAATAGTCAATTATTATCGAGCCTATTTAATATTTTTCTATATTTCTAATTGCATCGTAATTATAGAAACGGAAATGAATTAAAACTACAAGTTCCCCTGTCATTATTCAAGCGATATTAATAAAACAAGTTTATTTGTGCTAATGACTAAGTTATCTTTTTAATTAAGCCAAGTGTAAATAGTAATTAATTTCTTAGAAATTCGTTAAATTACTTATCTGTATCCAGTTAATTTTCTTTTTTTTTTTAAACGTTCTTTTGAAATTGTCCTTGTGTTAAATATTAATATATTATAAAAGTTTTTCTAATAATAATGAAATTATATTTATCCTTTTATGAGAAATTGTAAGAAAAATGTTGACGATCTGACATTCTTATTATTTATATTTGATACTATGATTACACATTTTGTTGTATTTCTTTTATAATAGAACAATAGTGTCTTATTGATAAATACACATAGAGAAGGTAAATGGTTAAATGTAAGCAAGTGAAAAATTATATATAATTTACAAGCGTGTAATTTTGTTCGCATATAATTTACAATTTAGTTGAATCACATATAGTGAAATTATAGTCTACTTTTCCTGTATCGGTTCGTTACGTTGCTTCCGTAAACTTTGATATTTTTGTTTTAATTTTATGCTATTTCGATCATAAGAAGCTTATTGAATATAGTAATTTTTAAAATATAGATAATAAATGAATCGAGCGTAGTTTGCTGACAATTCAAAGAAACAAATCGATTTCATGTGCTCATGATAACATTAGCAGAACTATATATGCAATTTATTATAAGAATGCTAACGTAGTCGAAACTATTTATTACTCCAATATCTACTTTTTACAATTACACTCTAGAAAAAATGGCTTTCTGTTTTTATTTCTCTTGTTGCATGTAATGTTAGTTTAGTTTTATTAAAACAATTTTTTCTTTTTTGTAACAACCATTATCGATATTATAAGATAATGTAATTTCAAAATATTTTTTCATTTGAATATATTAAAAAATACAAATAATAAGTAGTATAATTTTATCAATTATTTTAAAAAGGAAACGCGATGTCAGGGTACGGAAGTCTTTTGTTGTTTTACTTATTAGCTGTGTATTGCCTTCTGCAGCCTTCATTAATTGCAATGAGATCGACAAATGTATTTCAAAACTCATTATCGATGTTACGAATACCATATTTTTTCCATATTCTGCAATTAGTATGCTACTTTGTGCAAAATCAGGTACGTTTTTCTTTTTTTTTTTTTTTAACTTTCTTTGAAACTTTTTTCTCTTTTTTTTTTCTAACAACGCCTGTACGAATGACTTATTATATATCAGATGGCTTGTGAGGTTGCCTACATTTAGGCGCAATTGTGAATCCGGAAATTCACATTTACAATTTTCTATTGTAATTTTCTTTCTATATCCGGTAATAGCTTGTTTTAATAAATAGTTATTTATATTAACATAAATTATGTTTATAATGTGTAAAATTATAAAAATTCGAATAGAACATAAAAAATATATGTACTTATGGCAGTTGCTTCATAAATTCATCGATGACCAATAATTTCATAATACCTAAAGTCATTAATACAGAATATTATAATTTGATTGTATTAAGAAATTGTTGAATTTTATACAAATAATCTTAGGTTTTATTTTGCATTGTTGTAAAAAATACATTTAATGGCGATGATTAGACGAATTTTTAGAATAATTTCTGCATTCTTTATATAAATTCAATTCAATTAATTTCAAAAATAGTTAATAAAATTTCTGAAATTATTATTAAAAAAAATGTTGTTACTGTAATAAGCTTATTGAATAATAATTTGAAATGACACTTAAATACATTATAATACAAAGTAGTACATCCTTTTGGCGCTATAATCGGTAATAATTTTGTTTTGTTTTATTTCTTTTTTCTCTTGCTTTCTAAAAACACTATTTTATATATTGTATTTTTTATTAAATGAAATTGATCTAATATAAATTAATGTCAACTACAAAAATTATTAATAAAAATTGATTGAATTAAAATAATTACATGTTTTATACGATAAAATTTTTTCATTATTATAAAAGTTTAATTATTTAAAAATTGTACCAAAATTTTACATAATTACACCTCATCAAACGGCCTTAAATTATAATGTTTGAATATTTCAAAAAATTCTTTGACGTATGCTCGGTTTATAAATTTGCTTTGTGAAAGTCGTGGGCATCGTATAAGCATATGATTTAACTGTAACGTAATTATATAATAAGCACTTATAGTTATTTATGAACCGATGCTTCTAAATAACTAGCGACAAATTTTTCGTAGATAACAAAATTGAATTGTCAAAACGTCTTTCGGATAATTACATACTCAACAATCATTTGAATTTTGAAGATTTTGAAAAGCAAATAACTCAATCACCAGCCCATCAAACCGTCATTTTTCTCGACTACAGTTGCCCCGAAGCTCCACATGCTTTACAGAAGGTATATAAACAAAAAACAAAAACAAAAACAAAAACAAAAAAAACAAAAAAAAAAAACAAAACAAAACAAAACAAAACAAAACAAAACAAAACAAAACAAAACAAAACAAAACAAAACAAAACAAAACAAAACAAAACAAAAATACAAGGAAAAATGATACAAGCTATCTATTTCAATTGGTTTTTATAGAAAATACATAAAAATTAATATTGTCATTTAACAAGTAGGCAAACAACTCTGGAATGTTTTCGGCGCCTCTCAAATGGCTCATCCTGCAGAATCCGAACACTGCTGCTCACTTCGATAATTGCACCTACGAATGTTTAATCGGGAATTTCGGCAATTTCGCAATTTATCCGGATAGCGAAGTAATAATCCTTCGTACGTCATCGAGTGGCAGCATTGACATAATTTCTGTCTACCGTTCGAGCCCGGGACGTGATGTAATTGAGGAAAATCGCGGCTTTTGGAGGAGTAAAGATGGTATAAGTATACACGACACTTATGTGTCATCGCGAAGAAGAAGGAATCTCCATCAAACATCCTTAAAATCCAGCATTGTGGTATAAAAAGTTTAATTATTCGCTTCCAATGTAATCGCAAGCGCCTTTTTATCCTAAAGTCCCTGTTGCTTTATTGCGCGTAAGACTGTTCGTAAAAGTTTTGGTAAAGTTCCAAAAAAACTTTATCGATAAGTATCACGAACAGTTGTTACATATATCATTTCATATTATATAGAAATTTTTATTCAATGCGTTATTATAGTATTTTATGTTATATCTAATGTATTTAAAACAGATTTTCTTAATTTCAAAAGCATTTCAACTCGATTAGTCTATTGTTTTAGCTGTATTAGCTTTTCTACTATCGTCGAACATATTCTTATTTCACATTGGCAGTGTTATTCAACAATAATTTTTATACATATAAATTTATGTAATTAATACATATTAAGTATATATAAGTACGAGAATTAATGTAGCCGTAAGAACTTTGTAATTAAATTACAATTAATATATTACTGTAAGACTTTAAATAGTTGATGCGCGAAAATTCATATTGTTCTTCAGCAGCTTAGTAATTATAAATAATAGATAACTTATAAGTGAATTTTAATAGCATTGATATCGATATTAGTATTGACAATATCTTATAATACTTATTACTAAAACAAAATATTTTAATATAATAAAATATATTATCATGTTGCATGGTAAGTACTGAAGTGCCTGTATTATTATTGAATTTGTTTCCTTCAATTCTTATAAAATGCTTGAAAGACAAAAAAATTCATTCTCAAGTTTTTGACTTCCTTATCACAAAATTAAAATAATATTACGAGTTCACGCCAATTTTTATGGCAATAAAAGAATATCGTTTAGGATAAAATATAAAATATATATTTTCATTGCCTTTGAATATTTGAAAATATTAAAAAATTGTTTTTGCCTTTGGGAGTATAACGAATGTAACATCTTAGTTATACGTATGATAAATTGTAGAAAATTTTCATTCAACTTCATTTTTATGTTCTAATGCAATTAATAGGCAATACGTATTTTATTATTAGGACAATATTATTAAGGTGGCTTGTTACGTTCGTAGGTAACAAATCCAAATACAATAAATCATTTGACCGATTATCACGATAAGCATGTGGATACTATCACAAAATGCAATTACGTATGGCTTCATCATATTACTGATGCAATGAATGCAACGTAAGTAAACTTAAGTTACGAATGATATTTTAACTTTTCGAAGAAGTTAGGATAACGCCAGGCAACAAACAATGTTGAATAATATTTTTCATATATTCGATATATTGTAGATTGATTCTTCTTACGAGATAACAAAAATGACGATTTAAATTAAAATACGAATTAATTAACTATAAATTTACATTGTTTTGTTATTGTAAAAATTAATGGATTTTATTATATTCATCAATATTAAATCAAAATAATAAATAAATTATTTGATAAAATTCGATAGTAGTACCGATGAACGTGAAAGGGATAGTTAAAAGTTTCGAATTTGATAAAATCTTTTTCGCAATTCAGTCTATTTAAATAAATGTATTACATTATAATATTTCCTATATACGGATAATTAATGTTTGTTATTATTTTTATAACATATAGAAATATTAAGTAAAATAAACAAATAAAATTGTCTTGATGTACAGGTTGTATTAAATATTGACAAATTTAACTTTTAAGTTAATTTTAAGTATTAATTATTATTTTAGAACCAATGAGAAAGTACACTTAATTAAATATTGTTTTATCCGATTATTTGTAATTATTGTAAATTAAAAAAAAAAAAAAAAAAAAAAAATCAGTCGTATTATATTGAATTATTATACAAGATTTTTTAGCATAAAAGTTTAATATGTAAAACAATATCAGATAAGTCGGTGTTAACAAGTAGAAATAGTTTTTTAAATTATTGCTGAGCCGAATGTGTGACGACGAGTGGCATTTTTAAGACGGATTTTCTTATATTTAAATTGTAAAAACTTTCTTACGATGGACAATCCATAATTATTCGAGCATATAACGTTTAAATAATATTAACGTAACACGTTTCATTTATTTCCGTGAATTCGGAGAAGAAAATTTGACACGAAATGGTAAAATAAATAGGATTCATAAAATATAATTGAATTAATGTTACTATTCCGCGATGTATTCGTAATGTGAAATATTCAGATTTTCTTTTAGTCGATAACAGTACAATCGATTTTACTAACTCAAAATCTGTATTATTTCTTCGAAGAAATTCGACATTTGTTCGAAAGATGGAGTGAATGTAGGGAATATTAAAAATTATTGAAAATTGATTCTGTCTTTTTCTATGATTTTGGAATAATGAAGAGAAAAAAAAAAAGAAAAAAAGAATTTGTTTCTGTAAATTGTTCTTGTTCATTATATTGTAAAAACTTGTAACTTTATGTTCGATCATGATATAAGTTAATCTGATCGGGTTTAATGGAATAATTGAATTTGCATGGAATATATATGTGGAGCAATAAATTCTTAATAAATAAAAGCGACGAGTATCTATCGGAGCACATCAACTTATCGACATTGACGACGTTCCCAATTATAAATGTTCATGATAAATTATCTAAAAAGCCGAAGTGTTACGCCCGAATGAGCGTAAACGACCGTAGGGAGTTCTTTGAAACTGCATAATATTCAAAAGCACGACAAAACGAGACTTCCGCTATTTATTGGCAATATATCGAATAGCAGTGAAGTTCAATTGATCTAAAATAATTCTCATGTTACGATAACGAGTCAATGTTTTCGCGAACTTCATCGCGATTAATCATCGCCTCGTGTACGAGCATATTCAACACCAATAAAGCCATATCTCTGTCGGTATGGAAACAGGGTTACTTACAGTATTGTGAATAGCTGGGGATATCGCGATAAGAACGGTTCCTGGAATGGTATGATGGGCCTGTTGAGTCGCAAGGAAATTGATATTGGCGGCACTTCGATGTTTCTTGTCGGGGATCGATGGGATGACGTTGTCTACATTCCTCTATCTACTCCGACAAGGTAGCGAATCTTACTTAAGTATTGCTTCCAATGTGCCGCTTTATAAGCTTATTAAATATAATTAAACGCGCGTAGTTTCATGATCAGTTGGGATTTATTTCAAGCCGAAGATCGATTTAAGGATCCTGTCGTCGCGCCCGCCATAATGGGCAATTCAATGTCATTGATACGAAAATTCGATCAATAGACCAATCGTCATTATTAAGTTATTCGTAAGAAGTTAAAGTTTCGAAACGTGATGCTAACGTGTTCCCCCTAGCCCCTCGCACTCTGACGCGCATTTAAAAATTAAATTTTCTTTCAAACTTGTATAACCGTGTCTCACGTTGAATAACATTTCTTTTGCCCAAAATTACCGTAATTTGTTTAATGGTTAAATCAACTAGAAGATCGAGTCTTAAAAATCCAATTGACATTAACAAATAAATTTACATGAAACGAAAGCATTGTATTATTACGTTGATATTTCCTTTTGGTTCTGCTGACAAGTTTATTTAATCGTTGAGAGATTTAATACGTTTCTTTGAATATTGCGAGAAAGAAACCTCGTCCATTAAAATAATCGTTGCAATTAAGTTAGTATCACTTATGGTTTATTTTAATAGATGTATTATTTTCATTTATTTTTCCCTATCATCACTTTTTTCTTTTATGCATTATTCATTATTTCCATAAATTATAACTTATATTGTGTAATTTATTTGTGTGCATTTATGCTGCAATAATGTTAAATCCCTTGCTGGATAATAAGTATAACGTTACTGAAAATTTGTCAATAATTTACGGGAATCGAACAATTTTCGTTCCTATCGTTCACTATTCACTTTGCGATTAGCCATTAAACTACTACAGCGAGTAATAAAGGCTGCGTGAACACATAAAAGTTCTACGATGTTATCTTTTGTCATCATCGCAAAGCTTCGTTTATCCGAGAAGTTAACATTTCCTTAGAAATATTATTAGCATAATGTGATTTTTTTTTTTTTTTTTTTTTTTTTTTTTTTTTTTGAAAGCCTGGCCTATCTCGATGAAATAATTCTGAAAAATTCATGTTTTTCAAGTCCATTACCATAGACCATTGTGATTCATTAATTTATCGGAATATTGGCGTAACTGTTTTTTTATTGCTTTTTTTTTTTTTGTCTTTTAATTTTTAATTTGTATTTTAACGTGAAATAATCAAATGAGAATGGATTGGATATGGAATTGAATTAGACGTCTATCTTAGCTTGATTCCATTCTGTTGATTACGAAAGTCTGTAGCCGTTTCTTCGTCAGCCATCTCATCAACGCCATTGGCTTATATTTATTTATTTACTCGCTCACTCGCCCATACCACGACAAGTGCACGTTCCCTTACAGCCCAAATAGCCGGCATCACCGCTTCCCCCGCCCTATCTCTTATTTCTTTTTTTCACCCACACAAGGGCAGCCTTCATATTCCGTCAGCCGCCGCTCTCCTTCGTCAGCAACATCTTCACGCTGCCGTTTCACCGCTCCGTCTGGATCGCGATCGGCGTTTTGTTCGCAGTGATTTTCGTCATGCTGGCGATATCGAGCAAGTGGGAGTGGTCGGCGAGGAACGTGGACCAGGCGCTGTACCCGACGCCAACCCTCAGCGACAATCTCATGCTGGTCATTAGCATCGTGGCTCAGCAAGGTGAAGCCCCGGGGCTTTGGTTTAATTACTTAGGGCATAGCGAAAATGCGGGACGAAACAATTGGCCGAGGCTCGGGCAATGATAAAAGGGCCGCGGGCGCGTACCGATCAATCGACCAAATAGATTTGTTAAGTGTGGGTGGGCGATGGGTTGGTCGCATTGGCAGTCGAGCGTACCGTCAAATAAATCCACGGCCTGGCCATCGGCTTTAGAGCCTCGTGCAGTTAAGTGGCGTGCAAAGTTGAAAGAAAAAGGAAAAAAAAAGGAAAAAAAAGGAAAAAAAAAAGAAAAAAAAAAGAAAACAAAAAAAAAAAAAAACAAAAAGTCCCTTTTTCAATAATTTCATGCCTTCGATGTTGTTTTAACCACACGATGCATTAGGTTTTGGGCGCAATCTTAATACCATAACGTCGCGGATCATCCTAATGATGCTTTTGCTGGCGGTGCTGAATCTTTATGCCTCTTATTCGGCCAACATTGTTGCCCTTTTACAATCGACTACGACTTCGATACAAAACTTGAGGGACTTGATGGAGAGCCCGATTAAGTGCGGAGCTCAAGACATTATCTACAACCATTATTATTTTCAGGTGACATTTACGTTTATCATTAATAACATTTAATATCATTTTGCCATTACATAATGTTTTGTGAAAACGGCGATTTGTGTATTAAACGAGACATTATGAAACGTCCTTAATCCGCTGAGAATGGGATGGGTGCGTGGGTTGGGATATCGAAACATTTTATATTACAAAGGGCGATTTCGTAATTGCATATTTAGATGACAGAGTGGCTGAATTATGCGCTGATTGTCCACAAATTCTTATATAAATTTACCGACTGCTCGACTACAATAGCTCCATTAAATAAGTTGATAAATTACAATAATTGATATATAAGATGCCAAAAGTTGATAATGTCACTACTGTTGTGCACTACCGATAATTTCATTTACCTTAAATTCCCAAGCGTAAAACTAAACAATAATACACACGCGTAAATTAAATTAATTTCTTGGATCGTTTAGGCCTAGATTTTATTGCCCAACAAGATAATTGAGTGCCAGTTAATTACTATTAAGGCAATTTTTTTAATTCTCACTTATATCGATCCAAATTCGTTATTTTTTTTTTTTTTTTTTTTTTTTTTTTTTTTTTACAACTTTTAACTTATTGAGCATATCGATCGATTAAAAGTCGCAATTAAAATTTTCATTAAATTTCATTTGCATAACGTTCATTCAGACATTCACGTGCTAAGATTGGTAGAAAAATTCAAAAATTACCTCCTCCTGGACTTTTGTATAATGTCGTAACAATAAATTTTTGCAATACATAATTTTTTAAACATTACAAATTACCAAGCTGTTGCGTCGCTAAAATATTACAGACACGTAATGATTTATCGTTAATATACTTCTTTTATTGCAATTAATATCAATCAACAAATGCTTAATTTATTTATTTGTTACCTTATGTGCAGACGATTCGTTGATACTATAATTAAATGTTAAAACATTTTGTGCTTTTGTGAATCGAAGATGATTGTATTGTATTTGATTAAAAAAAAAAAAAAAAAATCATCCTTTAGGGTAGATAGCGATATCAATTGTAGTTAAGCTCTATTTGTAGCCGATTGAGAAATTGTATTTAAGGCCTTAAATAGTTTAATTATGTCTTTCCACAAATGATTTCTCGCATTTTGTTATTTCTGGTGATGATATATATATATATATATATATATATATATATATATATATATATATTTAAGAAAACAATTGGTGAATTGCATCTCGAGTCCGTGGTAATGACAGAAAATCTATCATTTATTACAAGAAGGTCATAGTTATAAAGTAATTTTCTGATACAGAAAATTTGTTAGAATTTTATTCTGATAAATATGTAAATCGTGGCCTACATATACATCTTTAATACGTAACTTGAATTATTTTATTGAATACTTGCTACTATTTGAGCTAAATATCTATGATTTATAATTTTATGATATATTGTAACTATTGGGTTACATAGTACAAGAAGAATTTTCTCTAAAAATACGAAATAATCTCATCGACTACGGGGTTTGAACTTTACCGCCATACATATATACGTAATAAGGCGGTGCGCCGTCGTACCTATTGTGCATCTTTATTCGCGTTAAGTTATTATTAATATTTCATGCGTGTCATAAACTTGCTTAAAATACTCATTTATCAAATTTTTCATTTTAACACAATCGTTTGTGAGTCATCTAAACGTTGTAAACATTGCAATTCTTTATAATGGTTTTATGAAGAAACAAAAAAAAAAAAATAAATTTAATGAAATCGTAATATAATTATTACCGTAACGAATGATTTGCAATTAGTTTTTATCTGGATTTAACAGGAGTATTGATATATATATATATATATATATATATATATATATATATATATATATATATATATATATATTTAAGAAAACAATTGGTGAATTGCATCTCGAGTCCGTGGTAATGACAGAAAATCTATCATTTATTACAAGAAGGTCATAGTTATAAAGTAATTTTCTGATACAGAAAATTTGTTAGAATTTTATTCTGATAAATATGTAAATCGTGGCCTACATATACATCTTTAATACGTAACTTGAATTATTTTATTGAATACTTGCTACTATTTGAGCTAAATATCTATGATTTATAATTTTATGATATATTGTAACTATTGGGTTACATAGTACAAGAAGAATTTTCTCTAAAAATACGAAATAATCTCATCGACTACGGGGTTTGAACTTTACCGCCATACATATATACGTAATAAGGCGGTGCGCCGTCGTACCTATTGTGCATCTTTATTCGCGTTAAGTTATTATTAATATTTCATGCGTGTCATAAACTTGCTTAAAATACTCATTTATCAAATTTTTCATTTTAACACAATCGTTTGTGAGTCATCTAAACGTTGTAAACATTGCAATTCTTTATAATGGTTTTATGAAGAAACAAAAAAAAAAAAATAAATTTAATGAAATCGTAATATAATTATTACCGTAACGAATGATTTGCAATTAGTTTTTATCTGGATTTAACAGGACAATTGATATATATATATATATATATATATATATATGTCCGCATGAATTGAAGTTAAATTGTCAACTAATGTCAACGATATAAAGGCTTTTAATTTTTCGGTACAAATCTTTAACGCTCACGCACAATAATTTAATTAAACTAATAATAATTCATGATAACGAAGAGAAAAATGTTACTTTTTTTTTTCAAGAATTCCTAGCTCTCGTTTCAAATGCTAATTACATATTTATTTTAGCTTTATTCACGCAAACGCGATAACTTCAAACGGCCGTATTCGCTCGTAACATTTAATCAAATAGTGCAATTAAAATCTATCATTGATTATAAAGTTATAAATAATGCAGACAATAATGCACATGCGTGTCCATTATATTTGCATTATTAACAAAGTGATATATTATCAGTTGGAGAAAGATCCAGTTCGAAGGCGCATTATAGATTATAAAATAGAGCCGAGAGGAGGCAAATCACACTGGATGTCCGCGGAAGATGGCATTAAGCTCGTACGCCAAGGCTTTTTTGCATTCTTTATGGAAACTGGTCCGGGCTACAAGATAATTCAAGAGACTTTCCAGGAAGATGAGAAGTGCGGTTTTCGCGAGATGTACTTTATCGAGCACTTCGATCCGACATTCACGATCGTCAAGCAATCGCCGTACGGGGAAATTATACGAGTCAAGTAATGTTTTAAGCAAATCCATTATTTATTTTTCTTTCATATGCAAATGCAATATTTTTCGTAAGAACGAGACACGCGTGTAAAAATTTTTCTACCACTAGCATATGCTAAATAGTAGCGTATTTCAACCATACAATAATACTATCCCGATTAACATCATCAAGTTATCGATACAATTATTTTTAATTCGAGACTCGCAATAAGAATATGATTTGACATTTTGACGTCAAAGCTGCGAATAAAGACAACGAAGTTCCGTTGAAGTTATTTGTAATATTAGTAAAGAGCCTTTACAAACTGATGCATTTGCTAAATAATTATAAAATAATTATCGGACGGAAAGAACACGATATTGTCTTATTCGATAATTTTGTATTGTTCTTACATATCACTGCAATGATCCAGTTCACTGAAGATCGAGGAATCGGGACTGAAATCGAGAGAAATGTTACGATTTTATACGAAACGTCCTATTTGCAATGGACTCCAAAAATTTATAAACGTTGGCCTCAGCGATTGCTATTTTGCATTTCATTTGGTTGGTTACGGTACTATAGCCGCTGTCCTGTTGCTGTTTTTCGAAATATTATGGAAGCGAAGGTAAGAAGAAGGCATAGACCCGCGTGAAAAGGAATAAATCAATTATTTTATTCAATTAATTTTATAATCTTTGTGACGTATATTGTTGAGAAAATTTTCTATGCTTAATTGTAGTGATTGGATGAGGGCGAAAGTCGTTACATCGTCAAGAAATTAAGGAAACGAAAATCGAGCGTTTTGTTCGTTTAAAATTCCTTCTTGAATCTGTACGTTGACAATTAAAGTTACCATTGAAATTATGAATTTTCAACTTAACGACCCAATACAGACGCAATATTATTGCTTATAATTGCCAACATCAATAGCATGGTAGAGTTTGTGAAACTGAATAACATTATTTCATCGTATTCTGCGACTCAATACTATTGTACTCTTTTTATTTATTCGTCTATTTATATTTGGAATAATGCTCGCGATTGGACGAATTAAAAATTAAAATAGACAAATTGTAATTAATAGCCGACTCGTTTAAGTAGGTATTAATGCTGTACAAGTTCACATCGTCTCACATAAATATTTTCCATCATAATTTTACAGTGTTAATCAATTTTATGCTCGTTAGACGTATTCGGTTTTTCATCTATTTGCTCGAATTCACACGTGCAAATTCTTCATGTAACAATGCCATGTAATAATTGTGAAGCTATCTCATTACAAAATGTCGTGCAAAATGTTGAAGTTGTCACTCGTACAACTGCTCCACTAACGGCGTTGAGAATCCCAGCTAAAGTTACGGAACATTCGAATTGAAAATATCATTCGGCATCGAATCAATATTGATTCGCTTTGATAAAAATACTTATTCGGTACAGGCTTTGCCACTCGGATTTAAATATTGGACATAATTTCATAATGCGAGCCCGAGAGATTGGAATTCCGGGGGCCGAGTGGCCGGGCGATCGACTCCTCGACGTAGTGGTATGCTAATGACATTCGGAGCACTCACCGGCCACTACGTTCGCATTGTCCCGTCGTTAGTAATGTAGCACAGTCGCTAAGTGGGAAGGAGCATTTCCCAGGCGTTTTGGGACTACACCGAGGATGTACGGGGCACAGGTAGGTGAAAATGGCACTCGTCGTCGGGGACGTGATCAGGATCGTACTCTCCAAATACTCCGTGGGACCGTGGTAAAAAGAGCGACGGCGATGAGCCTTGGAGCATCGAGGGGAATAAGCCACACACGTATAATGCGCGCGGCCTCGTAAAATTAACATGCGAAAACTATAATCTCGCGGGGATATCTCGTTTGTTAGGGCGCGCGTGTGCGTGTGCGTGGGGGCGGCCGGGAGTCGGGAACTCGGGGCCGAGAGTTTAAGAGTCGTATTCGTGGCGAACGGCATCTTTATTAGCTCCCTAACGATGCGAATAGGCCGGCGAACGCGAGAAAGGGGCCGGTGGGGCGGGGGCGTTTGCAGTGCGTGGGGCCAGAGCGGGGTGGTAACGAGGAACGGTAAAGGACGCTGATGGCGGCGGGAGGGGAGAAGCGGGAGAGTGGATGTGGGTGGGGGGGGGGGGGGGTGGGGGGGGGGGGGGGGGGGGGGGGAAGGAGAGAAGTATAGCCGTGAGCGAAGTTGGAAAGTCGGTGGGTTGAAGGGAGCACGTCGTCCTGGGAACTAAGTCGAGCGTGGGTCAATTAATGTCGCAGCAGGTGGCGGTTGTGTCGGTTGGTGACGCGACCAACGCGTAACCTCCGATACAACCTATGTCCGCAACTTCCTCCCCTCCGATTATTTCATCGGCCGTAAGCGCGAGAGTGAATTTGTCGGACATGTCCGGCCATCGTTCTCCCCCACTGTCCACCTCCTCCTTACCCCGCTGCCCGTACCTTCCCCCGCTATTCTCCACCAACCGTCGCCTCTCCCTTGCTTGCTTTTTGCCCCGTAACGGATGAATCCCCGAGCCGCATTGTTTTTAACGTTCCGTTTATCAACATTTGGGCAGGTTTTGACTTTGACCGCGAGCCAAGATTATTCCCTGGAAGGACTACTGCGTTTTTATGAAAATCCTGACGGTTCTTAAGACCACGATTGAATTTATGTTTGTCACGTTTTTAAACGTAATTTCAGGTATCCCTTGTTTTTATTTTTTAAAAACCTTTCTTTCTAATGAGCTTTGTCTTTCCCATTTTACTCTTGGGCGAGGCAGTTTTTCCAAGGTGTATGACAGATCCGTTCGAGCGATATTAAATAATTAAATATTAAATGCGTTATTGCGCAGGCTCGCACAAGTAGTAGTAGCTTCGAGTTTGTTTCATAATTTATCTATTAAAAAATTCATTAAAAAAAAAATTTATTATGAACAGAAATATATATATATATATATATATATATATATATATTTAGATTTTTTTTTAACATGATCCTAAGAAGCCTTCTATCATTTACAGCTATTTTTGGCTTTTCTTTTTTTGCGGAAACTTAATTCTTAATAATATAACACACGCATGATGTAATTGTAGAGGTAATAAAAAATTTATTAATTTCAAATTTCACATTCTCATCAAATTTTTATTAGATTATGAATTGGAATGGAATGCTAAATACAACATTCTTACAACACTGAGAGACATTTACAGTAGCACTAAGTAAATTATAATCTTTATACTACATTTACTAGCAGACCTGCGTGTAATATTCATTCGCGCTGTGTGAAGCAAAATTTGACAGAGCGAGAGCAAATTTTTTTTAAAGAGAATTACTGGAATAGCTCATTCATTAGATGAGTCACAGCTTATTTGGAATAAGAGATTAAAAAGAAAAGACCAAAAAACAAAAAAAAAAAAAAAAAAAGAGATGTTGGACCGCTTCCATACATATTATTCGATAAAATAATTAGTGATGGTTAATTTATTTCAAAAAAAAAAAAACAAAAAAAAAAAAAAAAAAAAAAAAAAAGAGATGTTGGACCGCTTCCATACATATTATTCGATAAAATAATTAGTGATGGTTAATTTATTTCAAACAAATGCCCAAATCGCCGACAGGTTACATGTATTTTCAAAAATAACGAGCAACAAAAAAGTGCGGTCATGCGCGTATTCCCGATGAACCTTCCGAAGCCTAAGATGACGCTGCAGAATATTTTATTCGACGATGGCAAAGCCGAAGCTATTTAAGTTAAGTCAAGAAAAGGTAAGTAGGCTCAACGCTGGCATAATCATTATCGTCCTCGTCATCTTCATCAATGTCATCATCATCTAAAATCAGAAATAGAATTAAGGGATAAAAGAGTAAAAAATGGTCGGTCAATTTTGTGGAAGACAGGGGGTGGGGCGGTGGCGGTGGTGGTAATAGTGCCGGTGGTGGTGGTGGTGGTGGTGGTGCTGGCGGTGGCGGTGGCGCTTGGTGATGCGGGTGTTCCGGGACGCGCTCCGATCGCGCAAACCCTCCGCCACATACACAAGCACACACTGACGCGTGTAAGAAAGACGGCCGAGTTAACTATTGTTTTGCGTCGGAGACTCCCATGGCAACCGGTTGGCGGCCCCCGCGGCCGCCCCCAACGCATCGCGGACACACAGCGCACGGCCCTTAACGTCCCCCGCCCTCTTCCTCCTGCCCCTTGTTCGCTTTCTCTCTCTCTCTCTCTCTCTCTATCTCTATCCACCTGGTCGCGCCACACACTCTTTGTCGGTTTCTCACAAGGCAAAGACCGCTCCGCTCGTGCTCCAACAATTTTCTCCGGGAGGCGCGCCGTTCGCCGCCGCTCTCAGGGTGGTCTCCGCGTTTACCTCTCTCCCGCGGTCTCCCCTTGCCCGCCGACCATCCGTCCGTCCGTCCGTCCTTCCACCCTTCTCTCTCTCTCTCTCTCCCCCCACCCCCACCCCCTCCCCCACCCGTCCACCTCCACCTTCACCCTCATCTCGGTACATCCCGCGCGTTTTCGGCGAGAGCCGACGAGAGGGGTGGGGCCCAGGCGAGATGCGCGGAACAAAATAAGAAGCCGCGAGCAAGGCGGGCCCACCCTGGCCGATTTCAGTCTCGGGGCGCGGCGCGATGTCGCTCTTCAAGACGAAGGAGTGGTGGAGGACGCAATGCGGAGACGGGTCCGAGACCTTCGACGGCCGCTGCCTCCTCGTGGCCCGACGGCTTCTCGGCGAGGACGAGCCCGTGGACAGTCTCGTCGTCGCCAGCCACGCCGGCTACCTGAGGATTTACGCGCCGACCAATAAGTGGGAGGAGGAGATCAACGCACCCGGCGCCCCCAAGTCTACGGACCTCGTGATCGAGGTCAAACTCGCCGACTCGATCCTCGACCTCAAGGCCGGCAAATTCGTCTCGTGAGTGCATCCCCCTTTCGACCGTCCTCGTTCCCAACCCCCGTTATTCAATCGGCTGACACTCGGCAGTGTCCATTCTGTCGTGGAATGGCGCATATTGCTGGTCACTTTCTTTCTCTCACTCTCGCGTCTTCTTCCTCTTCTTCTTCTTCTTCTTCTTCCTTTTCTTAGCATAATTTCGGTGGCAGAGAATTTTGAATTTTGTACAAAAGAGACTTACACTAAGTAAATACGTGAAATTGTTTATTTAATTCGCACACACTCACTTAATATTCGAGGATACAAATGCCTATGGCAATTATTATATTTTCCATGCGATTGTTGCATAGATCCGACGGCGACCATTAGAATTGCAGATAATGTTTAACGTTTTCGCGCCATCGTAATCGTAACAAATAATTGCGTGTCGTTTTATTCGGTTACATTTATACTCTCTGCAGATAAATTTATCTCAATATCATTCATTGGAACGCTTATGAGTATTCGTAATATTACAAATTTACAGATTAATAAGCGAGTGTATAATCGAGCGCAGTGATAAAATTTGTCAATAATTATTATATGCAAGTGAAAGCTTAAGTACCTCTTAGATCCATAGAATCCGAAGCGATAAGGAAAGAAAGATGGATAAAATTAATAGACCTACCGCTTTCATGTACCAAAAGTATATATTTATTTTTGTTGAGCGATAATTTTTTTTTCCGCTCTTTTTCTACTTTTTTTCT